GAGAGTAAGGTTGCCAGGATATTCTTTTCCGGTACCGGGAGCAGGGCCAAAACCACCGCCGGCCATTTTTTTGGGCTAGTCTCTTTTTTTTTTCCTTTTTATAGAATTTTGGTAGCTAAAAGTGATTTATAAAGTTAAGAAATTCTGCAGACTAACAAGTAGAATATGTGATGAAGAAATGAAATTTGTAATGAGAAGACTTGAGAGGAAGAAGATGAGATATGTGTGTACATATATATAGAGTGAGGGTATTCGTTACATGAGAAAAAAATAGACGATATGCAGGTTAACATACACGAACTCTGTCAAACTGATATGATAGACAAAAAATAAGACAATAGATGGACGTCTAGGTGCGGAATTTTTTTTAGACATACTAACTCAACAATTTAATTAATTCTGTTTATGTTTTTAAAATAATATATTTTCTTTCTCTTCCACCCTATTTATGGTTTAAAAGGAAATCAAACTATTAGAATCAATGTTTTGATTTTGTCTAATGATGATCTTTTATTCTTCAAACTAAATTGAAAGTGCAAATGCATAATTTTTTTTTTATTTTTTTTTATGGTCATGTTTACTTATTCTCGTATAGGTGACAAAATCATTGATTATTTTGAATACGTTTATATAAATTATGAGTTAGATGGGAAATTTTAAAAATCAATTTTGAATTTGAATTAAAATTCAGTTTTGCACCCTGAAGTGAAAATCGAACATTCGAACCAAATGAGAATTTGATCCCAAGGTTCAAATGTAGGGTCAAAGTCGTAATTTGTTGATTATTGGGTTGGCTATACACATCAATCATTAATCACTTATTTTTTATCTTTATCCTAGAAGCTCGACTAAATTTTTTTTTTTTGTATTGTTCATTGTCAATATCTCTAAATTATTGAGTATCGCATAAACTTATGTCGATATATCCTAATTTATATTAAAATAATAATCGTTTCAAATCAAGAGAAATATAAATTATTTATAAGTTACAAAAAAATACCCAAACATGACTTTGAAGTCTATCAATGAAGTTCTCGTATTTTACATCGAAAAGACGGAAAAGGAAAAAAAAATGAAGCAATAACGTGTACGGAGGGTCCATATGTCAGCTAATGTGGACAGCCCATATGTCTTTTGGGTCCCACAAACAATTTGATGTTGGGTTGGACCCACCTACCCCAAATTTGAGAAAATTACCATAAACAAGGTGTTTAGTTTTGACTTTTAAAAAATCAGGTTTTTAGTTTATTTAAGCAAAAATCAGGTTTTAATTTTACAATTAAAATTAATAATAATATTTTTAAATTAAATTAAATATATACCCACCCTACTACCTACCCCCACCAACTTCATTTAAATATAAAACCCTA